ATGCAACATTACAAAAGTTTTTGCAAAATGAAAAACTGCGAAAGAAATATAAATGATAATTGTCTGGAAATATCTGCTGTTGAGAATGGTCATTTGAAGATCTAGTGAGTTGTAATGTCAGAATTCTTAAAAAATTTAGTTCGAAGATCGAAAACGTTTTATTTGGAGGACGAATTGCCCACTCCTGTTGTAAAAGCCAGGTTGGAACGCACCAGGCTTGCCGGTGCGATCATGCGTTTTTGCGTCAAACTTGAAATAATTAGGTAAACTGCATGAATGGCTGTTTCTTCACACTTACGTTGTGCCTTCAATACCGTAAATCATCGTAAATTTCCATAAACGAAAATAAACAATTTCCGTTTAACGGTCGTTTTTTGAAAACGACCCAGCTGTTCAACGAGCAATTTTTCCGCCAAAAAATTTGAGTGCCTGTACGTGAGAAGCACGCCTCCTAGGAGGTTGGATTTAAAACCTTTAAGTTGCATTTGGACGAGGAATATTCTTCTAAAATTTTAGCTTTCCAGTTTTCTGGATCCCGAGTTGACAATTCTCCCGCCAAAAATTTCACGGGACCGTATGTAAACCTGAAGGCTGAATTTGAAATCTTTAAGGTGTGCGTGGGCCGGGGACATCCCGTTAAAATTTCAGCGTCCCATTTTTCCTGGTTCCCGAGTTAGCAATTCTTCCCGCCAAAAATTTTCACGAAGCCGTGCGTGAAAACCACATATGCCTGGTGGCTGAACTTGGTAGCCTTAAGTTGTGCATAGGCGGGGAACATACCCTTAAAGTTTTAGACCCTTAGCTTTCCTGGTTACCAAGTTAGCAATTTTCTCGCCAGCAACCCTTACAGAACCGTATGAGGTAACCACGCACGTCTGGAGCTAGAAATCTTTGAGTTCTATGTGGACGAGGAACACAGCCTCGAAATTTTAACTTCCTAGCTCTTCTCGTTCCCGAGTTAGCAATTTTCCCGCCAAAACTTTCACACGCCCGCACGCGAGGCCCGGACGCGTGTGAGGGCCGGTACCGCGGTCCTGGGGTGACATCTGGCCTGGGAACCCGCTGGCAAAATTTTGGAGCCAGAGCTTGCTTGGTTGCCGAGTTAAAATACATGAGTAGACGAAAACACACACAAATACACACGCTCGCACAGACAGGGTCGTTGCAATATGCGTTCCTGCAATTTGCATACATGCAAAAACGCATAAAAAAGACTGGAAGTATTCGATTTTAGAGGAACAGATTTTGGTAGAAGCGATTCGAAGATCATTGAACAATGTGCTCATGAGCTTTCTGTCACCGGTGGACAAATTTATGCTGCTCTCGCGCTGCTGGTCGGTTTTCTTCATGCTTCACTATATCGCTGCATCACAACCGCCACCTCTGAACCATCTGAAGGTACGTCAGTGTAGGCAAATTTTCAGGACAGCTCAAAAGAAGGGGAAAATAATCGCCCAGACTGTTTGAACTTTCGGCAAAAAATCCTCATTATTAGTTCGTTTGGCTTACTTCTTTTACCAAAATCTTTGACGTTTTCACAAAACATTTGGCAAATGTGTGAAAAAGAGGGTAACGAATATTATCGGAACCGCCTGGAGAATCGGTGTAGGGATCTGATGTCAGGTAATACTGCTGAAATGCTCCCATACGCCGAAAGCACTTATGCTAGGACCTCCAACCTTAAACTGTATACGTTCAGTTGGTGCCCACATGTTTAATGTATGTATGCCATCCCTCCGGAAGGTGAGAAGTTGCCATTTATTTTTTCGTAGGTACCACTTACTGCTCGCAAAAACCAGTAACTCTCAGCAAATGCTAGCAAAGTATCCTGTCTATCGGATTTTAATTTCTTGTGCGGTTCCACTGGGATTTTGGGCGTCGAAAAAGTAACCGGTTTTAGGAAAACTTGCGCGTCGTCTCTTACCTAATGCTTTCCTTCCTTGCCATCAGAGCAATAA